TGTTAGGATGCCAGAATCCACCATACGATGCGGATTGCCATAGTATCAGAGTGCCTGCTGGCTAAATAAAGAGAAACTTTGTCTGTATGAACCAATCCTTCCTTCCTTCTTGGAGAAGATCGATATGTCTGGCATAAAGAAGAGATTTTGCAGCCAGAGTTAGGAGATTTGAATGCCAGAACTAGTGAACCCAAGCAGGAGCCATAATGATTACACATGCTCTTCCCTAGCATCATCTTGCTAAGGTCCCTGTGCAGAAGATGAATGAAGTTATACACAGGCATTCAAAATCAGAAGGCTTAACCCTGGATGAAAAAGAAAGACTTTTGATAGATCCCCTTGACTTCTGCCTGATCAAACACAGAATTGTTCTTATTTGGCATTGCAGTAGTATTCAAGGTCAGTCTGTGATCTAACTAACCACCCCTCTATTGAACAGGTTGTGTACTACCAACTGCCAGAGAGACCACTCGGTGTAGCAATTGTCCACAAACCACCCATGCACACAAGCAAACACGCACACACAAAAGGATTTATGGCAGAAGGACCTTTCCAGTAAAATTTAAAAGCACAGCTAAGAAGTTTCACAGATTCTAAAACCAGAAGGAATCTTTATGATTATGTCATCTGAATTCCTACATAACACAGGACAAAGAATTCCTTATTATTTTAAAGATAGAAGTTTTAATACAAAACCAACATCTACTCAGAGACTACTCAAATTGTCAACAGTAATTAAACACAACCAAGGAAAGAGGAGTCTTGTGTCTCTTTATACCCTCTGTCTCCATGCCAGGCTGAACATGAGAAGTGGTACAGGGCCTCCTCTCCTAGTATGAATTCCTCTCAACAACTCTGAGGTATGGGGTGGGGAGAAGGAGACAGACTCCAAGTGTAGGGATCCATAGAGGCAATTCCATGAGGGGGTGAGTCTGGAATGCCAGAGAAACATGTGTAAAGATTATAGTTACTTTTCAAGCTGAACCAAAACAAATAAAATTAAATGTAGTGCTAAGAGCCCACTAAAATTATACCATAGCCCCTGCATGCCCTAGTCCTGGACCAGGACTCTATTGTGTTAGGTGCTCTACAAACAGTATAAAAATTGTCCCTGCCTCAAAGATCTTGCAATCGAAGTAATGAGATTGTCTGTGAGCATTAGTCACACAATATATAGCTCTCTCTCCTTTACAACAGCAACTGAAATTGGACATATGTAGACAAGAATCAGTATCCCAAGTAAAGGATTGAGGGAAGGGAACTCATCACAGATTAGCATCTCTCCTCCTTTTCTGCAGATACTCTGAAGATTGAGCTGGTTTTATATTAACGGAAACTTTTTGTATTATTTAGCGGGTTGTATTTTAGGAGATTAGGCACCCAGGGAATAGAATGGATGTCTATAGTTACATTTTTGAAATTCAAATAAATGATAAAATAATAGCCGCAACATACAATATGCAGGATATAAAAGAACAATGTTTCATGGTAGGAAAATATAAACCCTGGGATGGATTCTCCTCTGTGAACAAGCTGCACTCAGATGCACTGAAGAGAGGTGCTAGCCACAGTGCCCTGATCTCCCAATATCTGACCCCGGTAAAGGGAGGATTGGCATACTCGACTCTTGCTCCACCATATTCTTCCCTGGCTCCCTGCCTCTTGTGCTGAGGACTGAGGATGGGTGGAGCAGACTACCCTGTCTCTGTCAGCCTTCTGCTAGCAGAGAGTTATCCTGAACAAGTAAAATTCTCCATTTGCAGTTTGAAGCCAGTTGTGCTGTGCTGACCAATGTGTGCTGCTTTGTGGAACAAAGAGGACATAAGCAGACTAAACTAACCCCATAACTATTACTTGTTTCTTTCATTTAAAACAAAACAAAAAACCCACAATCTTTCTATTGAATTATTTAATTTCCCTTTTCACACCACTTCATTTATTTATTCTGTTTATGTCACACATGTGGACATGACCACATAGGACAATAGTGCATGGCAAGCCAAAGTCTGAATCTACAGTGCATTGGCTTGCCACACAGCAATGTCCCATGTGGACACTGCTACAGTGCACATAAAAGTTCCCTAGCATGAACTACAGAACTTATAGCGCACTGCAGCAGCACCCACATGAGATATTACTGTGTGGCAAGCTGGTGTGCTGTAGATCCACTACGTGGCTGGCTACTATGCACTAAAGTTCTGTGTAGACAAGCCCGTATTCTTAGAGAAGTGTTGCTATTTCATTCACTAGCTGGAGATAAAAATCATTGTAAGGCTCAGCTCGTGTGAACTCATGTTCACTTTGAGCAACAAATACAATCATTCGATCACAGGAAAGAAAGGCAAACCCCATACAGTGAACAAAGTGACACATTTTTCTTCCCTTTTTTGTTAAAGAACTGCTGTAAAAGTCAAAAAAGCCAAATGCAAAGGAAAAAAACAAACACTGATACAGTCATAGAACATTAAAAGCTTATAAACTTATATAAATTATATTTCTTATCATGTAAATTGTGCAGATGGACAGCACAGCCACTTTATTACACAAAAATATACTGTGTAGGAAACTGCAATCAAGCTTTCAAGAAGATGCAAGAACATAAGAATTCTAAAGTTACTTTAAAGGATTTAAAGAAAAACAGAGCTTCCATTGTATATATGTAGCATTGTTAGGGAATTTTTCATAAATATTTGCCACTACTATGAACATTACTAGTTTGGTTCCTACAATGAATCATGAGATGCCAAAAATGCCTACATGTCATCCAGTCAGCATACACATGCAATGAAAGTGGAATGGTTTATAAAGAACCTTGAAAGACAAACCTTTATAAATTATCTATAAAACTAGGTATCACATATAAATGAGGCAGATAAAAATTTCTACAAAAGTACAGCAAAAATGGTCTTATTTCAACAAAATTTCAGCCACTGCACTTTTTTTCATTTTTCTGTTCTTCTGTGATATTTTGTTTGTGCGGGGGAAAAAATCTGAAATAATTGGCCATGTGCCTTACCAGTGTTTAAGTCAGTTGCACTAATGAAGTACTAACAGACTATTTGAGGAAAAACTCGTAATAATTGGCAAGGGGTATAAAGTAAAACTATGTTGAGGACAGGATAAGACCAACATAGGCCCTAATACTATAAATTGTTCAGGCTACCTTCATTAGAACTGTGTGCAAATCACAGACTTAAATAGGCTGACTGCACAGTGTCACTTGAGAAGGCTACTTTGCACCGGCTACTCAATGTAACAATCCCAATTAAACGGTCAGTTCAGCTGCTCCCCATCCCTGGATGCTGACACACAATTAGAAGATATTGCATGCTTGAATGGCTGGCCAAATGACAGACCAACATTTTTAAACGTTGTGTAGCACTAAAGGAACAATACCTAGTCAAATAATGTCTGTGTAAAGATTATCACTAAACATTGCCAAATCTATGGCACGGAGATATTGAAGAGGACTGTTATAAAAAGCAGTCTGGCTTTGGAAAAATCCTGTACTGTACTGCCATGTATATGGACACATGAGAACCATAACAACCATAGAGAAACCACCACCATACTTGCAAAACAATGATAAGTTTGAATGAGTGTTTCGACTGCTCATTCCAATTCTGAATAAGAGCATGTTTCTGTGTGTCATTCCTGTGTCAGTCTGATTATCATACAAGTAACAACAAAAGAGAGACTAATTAGAAGGTAATTTATTTTGAGCAACTAACTATTCAGAACTCTCTTTTTGCTCATGTAGATGTAAAGCTGCAATAGCTTACGTATCAAGGTTTAACCTGCTTAGAAATCTTTACATTTATAATGATCCTGGTTTTTCCCAATTTACTGCAATCCTTTCCACTTCAAGAAGTTTTTTTGATCAATATATTTTTTCCATTTTGCTTTTTCATTTTTATTATGCATTCATGTGCATGTACTATATAAACAGACAGACAGACACACACACACTATAAGCTCAGTTACCATGCTTATTTTTATGGTAGAAGAAGCTAGATGGATAAAAACTTTCAAGCATTGATTTTCAGATAAGTCACTAAATTCTTACCAGCCTCACCCATTATATTCACTTTAAATACTTAAGAACAAATTGCGAACTATATATTGTGCACACATACACATATTAATGTTAGATGCTATATATAGATAGATACATATACTTAAAATTTCACCTGTGTTGCTAGAATCGAATTTTTTTCTTAAGAAACTCACTATTTTAATGGAAATGAAGAACTACGCTTTTAGGAACATAACTTAGTTTAAACCTTGAAATCATTGAGTTTTTTGAAGTCATAAATGTTAGTTCCATTAACTTTTATAATTGTATGTATAATTCACAAGTGTGTAAGTAAACAAAGCTGTCAACTGTACTCTGGAACAACCACAGCTATAATGTACAGTTTAATCATATTTGTTTCTGGCTATTATTTTAAGTTTGTTCTAGCCCTTCCAGAGACCAGGCAAAGATTTTAAAAGCAATACATACAGGGACAGAGCTTCATTTGACTATAGAGGAAGTTAGTAAATGTAGCTAGCTTCTAAAATTATTACCCACACTCTCCTTTTATTTTTTTATAGATATGTGTGTGTGTGTGTGTGTGTGTTTGTTTAAACAGCATGTAGAATAACATTTTGAAAAGAAAAAACATACATCACAGCTTCCTATTGCAGCCCAGGTATGCATAGATAGATACCAACCCAAAAGCATGGGAAATGAAGAGTACTCACTTGTTTAGCCTTTGTCTTTGTGATGGTGTCTGAAATTGGTTTCTTCCTCTCTTTAACAGCTGTTTTGGAAAACAGTTCTTCAAACTCATGATAATCTATGGAAGGCTCTTCAATTTTTTCCCACACAAGCGAAGCATTAGAATCTCTAAAGTTAAGCAAAAGACCTATGTAGAGCAATGTCAAACTAAATATAGTCACAAATGGTGGAATGAAGAAAAATAATATTAAGTCAAGAGTAGCAGGAGTTTAATAGAATGTATTTTGGATCTAAAGTCCTTATTAATTATATATTGAGTTTTCCCTTTTTCTACACCCCAATATGCTTCAAACTGCTTTATATTCACACGTGCCACACAGTTTGGGTTATCACTAGCTCAGTATATTAAAAAAACTACCAGACCTGGAAATAAGCTTGGGCTGAGAAAAGATAAACCCACTATTAAGTGGCAAAAAGTATGAAGGTGGAGGAAGTGGTAGGCAGGGAGAGAGAATATTACATTTCCCTACGAGTATGAAATCAGTATTTCCATAAACAATGGGCATTCCACAAAATAGAAAAATACATTAATGACAAATCTGATGTAAGTCAGAGCAACATCAAGCAACGAGGGTTACAGGCAAGTGGACCTTTTACATCATAAGGTAGGAGACATGGGGAGTGAGTCTGTGCAGATCATGGATTCATTTGGAGGACCAAAAACTACCTGAGTTTGCAAGTTGCTTGACATAGGACCTTGGTGCTGGTGGAAAGGGGAAAAGGGACAAGCGACTTACATTTGAGTCACAAAATGCCTGACATGTATCACCATATTGAGAGCTGAGGGTCCACAGGATCAGGCCCAAAGTTATCCAAAAAATGGTTCTTGAAAAAAATTCTCAAATAGCAAAATATACTCCCCCCCCAGCACTTACCTGTTCTAGATAAAAATGGGAAAAAATAGCACTTCTTACTAATATGCTCTCTGTAGTTCATAAGGACAGTATTGAACTATTACCTTTGTAAAATAGCTTTCATGGGTAATAAGCAGTTCAAGGTTAATTTTAACATACAAAATGCTAAAACGCAATTGGCATTTTATTTAAATGCCAGTTACAATTAAAATTGCAATTATACTGAAAATGTGTATGTTGTAAAGAACCATTTACAAGACACTGAAGCACTTAGTTAATTTCACCCCATGTTACTGAAAAAGACTTGGAACAAAAACAAATTCTCCATCTTCACATTATACATATTTTACCTTTTACTATGAAGCTGAATTCTTGTCCAATAAAGAGGCTTCATGGGTCGAGAAGGTTCTATTGCATGTTTCCTGCTCCCTTTATCCTGATTCATCCCCATTACAAATAAACCAACTGGTAATGGAGGAGGAAGAACCCCACAAACTTGTGGAAGGCCAAAAGTTGGCAGGAAGCCTCCCTGGGCTGGTGGTGGAAGAGCTGCCCCAGGTGGAGGTGGCGGTGGGGCAGGGGGTGGCATTCCCATGCCCGGTAAATGCAGGGGAGGGGGTGGGACACCTGCACCAGGCAAAGGTGGGGGAGGGGGTGGCATCCCCATACCAGGAAGAGGTGGGGGAGGGGGCGGTACACCTATACCCGGAAGAGGTGAGGGTAGTACACATACACCAGGCAAAGGCGGGGGAGGGGGTGGCATTCCTACACCAGGAAGAGGTGGGGGTAGAGGTGGTAGACATACACCAGGCAAAGGCGGGGGAGGGGGCGGCATTCCTACATCTACACCAGGCAAAGGTGGGGGAGGGGGTGGCATCCCCATACCAGGAAGAGGTGGGGGATGGGGCAGTATACCTACACCAGGCAAAGGTGGGGGCGGGGGTGGCATTCCCATACCAAGCAAAGGAGGTGGGCATGGGATACTAGCACCAGGCAAAGGAGGGGGTGGAGGAGGGGGAGGGATTCCCATACCAGGCAAAGGAGGGGCTGGAGGTATTCCGGCCCCAGGCAGAGGAGGGGCTGGAGGTATTCCGTCCTCAGGCAGAGGAGGGGCTGGAGGTATTCCGTCCCCAGGCAAAGGAGGGGCTGGAGGTAGGATTCCTGCACATGGAAGAAATGGGGGAGCGGGAGGCAGTGGCATCACTCCATCAGGCAAAGGTGGGGGTAGAGGAGGTGGCATAATTATGCCAGGCAATGAGGGGCCCAGGGGTGGCATTGCTGTGCCAGCCAAAGGCAAGAAAGGTCCTGAACTAGGCAAAGGTGGTGGGGATGGGACACCTGCACCAGGCAAGCGTGATGTGAAAGAAGAGCCTCCTGCTCCAGGCAGGGGAATAGATAGTTCTGTGCCAGGCAGTGGGGGTGGGATGCTACAAGTGGGTTCAGAGGATACAGAAGAGAAACATTCACTGCAAGTGACACTCTCAGTACTTCGAGACTGATGGGGAGCTGGCGATACAGTCGCTTCTTCAAACAAAGAGGATAGATCCGTGTCAGGTCCTGGACGAGGTGGCTGTGATGTACTTTCTGTGGACTGGCTTTCATCCAGCTGCATCGAGATTAATTTTGGTGACAGAATTAAAGATACTTCAGAACAATATGTGGGATCTGGTTCAAGAGTTGGCAATTGTTGAGATGGCCATTCAATTTTATCTGCTTCCAGGTGAGGAGGAGACTGTGGCAGTGTGTTGGCTGAAGGCTTTGAGTGTGTAAAACAATCTTCTACTGGTGAAGTCTGTACTGATTTTACTTGTAAAACAGTTTTGGGTAGGACATTCTCTTCATTTGTTTGAAGATCCACATTACCACGTTCCTCACAAACCGAGTGTCCACTCTGACTCTCTTGGTCTCTTAAAGGAATCTGTGCCTCTGTTGCTGGGAACTGTTTCTCCAGTTCTGCAATTTTGGTCCTCAGATCCTCAATGGTTTGCTCCAGCTGCTGAATTACATTAGCACGTTCCTCAGATTTCAACTCAAAATCACCCTTCAAAAAGAAAAGATAAGTCAACACACAGAAAGACGAGATAACTGTTATCAGCACACATGGGCAGTGAAGCTAAATAGGGATTAGCACCATCCAGAGCTAGAGAAAGCAATTTACTTCTACACTCAGTAAGAACGGAGACACCATATCCCCAGATACAACCTACTATGGAAATTAGTTTAGGCCCTCACACTATAATTAGTGATTATTATGACTTCATCAACATGCATGTTCTTTATATTGTGATGTTATTTTCCTGTCTATAGTACTGCTTTCCAAAAATGGACAAAGAACCACAGAGCAGTGGATTAAAAGTACTGCAACTCTCTTTTTGTAGTTAGATGTAATATATGTAAAATATTTAAATTTGCACAAATTTTCACTAATGATTGAAAACATTTAAAGTATTTCTTTAGTTCACTGTTACTGTGCATGATAGACCGGGTGAACTACCGAATGTTACATTTGAATACATGCTAAACTAGCCAGGCCTTATTCACCCAAGAATGGATAAAAGAAAAGAATAGGCAACCAATTTTGAAAAGAATGCAATCATACTGGTTTTCATGGCCAAGTTATGATGGCAGAAAGTCCTGCATGTTGAGTACAGTAAGCTACACAGCATAGCATTTGAGCTAGAACCACCATAATTGGGAAGAAAAATGACAAGAAATAAGACCAAATTAAGAACTACTTCTCCCCAAGTTTAGAAAGCATCAAAACTGCCATGTTTAAGGGCATAAAACAACCATTAACAAAAGGGATTAGGGAGAAGTTTCCTTTATGAGAAGGTTATTTCCTACTTGCCAACTTTGAAGCTTCTTGCAGCTTCCTCTGAAGCATCTGGTACTGGCTGCTGTTGGAAATGGATTACTGGAATATATGGATTATTCAATATACCAGTTCCTAAATAAATACCAGTAATGGAATGTGTTCTGTTTAAATGGAGATGTGCTTTATCAAAATGCATCACAAGGAAATAATATAGCCCAGTGATAGTGAATGGTAATGACTGGTGCTTTATCAGGACCATAATCCAAGGAACTAACCAGGCAATAGATACATCAGAAATTCTGAAGTATTTTAATACAGATGTTCCCAGATAGAGATTTAAGGGAACAGGAATACTAAAGTTGAACTTTTTTTTTCCCACTGCTGTACTTCATTAAATGTTTAGGATTTTTTTTTAAATGGTATCCTCTTGACTGGGACAACAGATCAGCAACAGGGAGTTAGTAAGGTAGATTGTGTTTACAATCTGTTTTATACACATTCAGGAGACGTGGGGTTTATTTTCCCATCCTCTGCTACAGATTTCTTTGGTGACCTTGGGCAAGTTACAACCTCTTTGTACCTTCTCTCTCCCTTCTGTAAAATGCTAAACCTCACAGGTGAAATTCAGGCTTCATCCATGAATGTTTGAGAGTTACTGGTCTCAGACAATGGTGAAGAGTACCATAGAAGCATCTGTAAATGAATGCCTCATACCTAACAGAGTAATAGCCTTTATTTGTCTTTCAGTCAGGAAGATTATGTTTATCATCTCATACTATGGCACAAGAAAATATTTAAAAAACAGTTTTCTTTGCTGTAAGCAAAGTTCTCACTACCAGTAATATATATTCATAGCTTACTAAAATTGTTTCCATGGAGTTGTTTTCTGAACACAACATTTCAGGCATGTATTTATGTTGGGATTTCCCAGCTCTCCTAAAGCATTCGCTAAAATGAAATAGTAACAAGTGACTAACTCAGATTGCTGTCTACTCGAATCAATTTACATCAAGTTACAATGCTCGTTCTCATAGAAAGTCTGAAGAGTGATTTGGATCTAAAATTATGAATACTGGTAAATGGTTCTCCCTATCAGATTTTAATGTGTAGGTAACAAGTTAAAGCAGGGACTGGGTCGCCATATATTTGTCTAGAGGTGGGTTGAATCTGAGGGAGAGCAGACGGCTCAGCCAATAACTACATAGTGCTTTAAACAGTAACCTGGAGAGAAAGGCTAAAAGATAGCTTTGCTTATTGCTTCAGCTTCAGTTACAGGATATTCTGCTGGTACCTTTTTTTATTATGCATCCTATTAAAATTCAATCCATTTTATTAGCAACATTTTTGTTGAAAAACTTTATTATAATACAGTATAAAGGACAAACAGTTTGGATTAGAATGTGAAAGTACAATGAAAAGAATATTACAAAACTTCATTCATCCCCATTATTCTGGTGTACGTACGTTACTGTAAGATCAATTTCTCAAAAATAAACAAAATATATACATAGTAGGACTATTTATACACACAAAATACCTATAAAAATTCAAACTTCAACTCTTAAGAATTCACTTGAGAAATATGACCATCAATTTTCTGCCATTGTAATATTCACTGGCTGCCACTTTTAACTTATTTTATGTTTAACTAGTACATTTTTATTAAAGACATAGCCTTCCAATTTGTATCTAATGGAGAAATTTCATCCCTGCCACAAACCTATTTAAGTCAATGGAATTACACCAGAGTTTAATTTGATCCATTTTATTTGAAGCTAATGCTCTAAGAATGTTTAATATGGCAATGATTAATCTCTTGGGGAAGAATCATCACCGTTAATATTAATTCAGGACACAGGGCTACTTCTAAGAGTGCAGTTTAACATGTTACCATATCCATGAACAAAAATATAGTCCTTGAAACTTAAAATTCCACTTGACCTGCAGGAACGCACTGCAACTCAATGTTACACAATGGAATTCATCCTGTAGGGCTGAAAATCTATTGCAAGAAAATTTTAAAGCTTCATGATCACATTAAAAAAAAAAAAAGAAAACAAGAAAAAAAAAGGTCATTGGGCAATTAAGTGATGTGTTAAGCAATTACTCCAAGGGCAAACAAAAATGGGTAGCTCAATGGAGGTGATCTTCACATGAAGGCGAAGCAGCAATGCATTCCATCATTTTTTAGTTTGTTTTAGCAGTCTTTTGAGATAGGAGGTTACACAATAAGGAAGGAGGGAGTGGATTTCTTGTCAAGTTCTTACTGTTCCAGTCTATCAGGGTCTCAGAGATACCTGAAAAAAAATTAACTGAGGCAAGATGTCCTAGCTTGAGACAAATCTTAGAAAACATTTGAGTCCAAAGAGACTTATACCAATTACATTTATTGGGGAAAACAGTATTTATATTCTCTGATTATATAGCATTTGAAATCATTTACTTTACACCCAAATGTTTTCCAAGATTTGTCTCAAGCTAGGACATCTTGCCTCAGTTAATTTTTTCAGGCATCTCTCATTTTTTCAGGAGATGAAAGGATTGTTTCAAGAAAAACAAGACAATGACCTTCCACATACAAACTGATTTAGTTTTTGAAACATCTCCTAGAATGTCCTTAAAAGATTAATTTAGTTTATAGAATCTAAAAATCTCATTAGGGGAAACTGGAATTCTTCCTGTGAGTTCAGCCAGAGAGAAAACATTGAATCATTCATATATCTTTCAATTTTGTAACATTCATACTAACAAAAAATTCCAAATGCTTAGGGATCATTTAAATATGGGGCACCTAAAGGGTGCCCTCAATTTGAAATGCCAATATATTTTGTCTGGTTACGATCATTGATCTCTTCCCTTCAGTTCTTTTGCTTTACGCTAAAAAAGATTCAGTATCTGCTCAGTACAACTAAAGTATAATTACATGAATTTCTATACCCAATAATTCATAGAAAGGTTAAATCAAACTACCTTTGCTTTTAGAACAGGCCATTTCTGTATGTTTGAAGTAAATAAAGACTTTTTTACCTTGCCCATTAAGATGACAGCCCAAAGCTCTTTTAACCCTCCTTCCCCCAGCAAAAAGACTCGAGTTCTTCCCTCATGCTTTGGGTTTGCCTTCCCTTGGCAAACAGTTCTGAATGAGACACTTTGAATTTAAACCAAGATTTGCGTAAGTCACAGCAAGCTTTTAATATCCCTCAGTGGGAAGAAAGTTTAGAAGCATTGGTTGACGAAACTTAAAAATAGGTAACGTTCATGGAAACAGAAAAGGAAGAAATTTTTCTGCTGCACATGTAAACACAGACGAAAGTCACTTCCCAGGAACCTGAAAGGTTTGCCCAGGTAAAAGACTGATCATGAGAAAGGTCCACATTAAAGTCCAAAGGACAACTCCACAGCAGAAAACTGTGTGGCTTAAAAGATGTTTGAGGGACCTCTGTCTTGCTTAGACTTCTTACCCAGGACATGGGTACTTTGAGGTAGTCTTCTTTCTGTAAAGGAAGAAAGAAAGGTGGAAGCTTAAGCCTCACTTTATCCAGGAAAAATTGAGCATGTATGATTCAAGAACAGGGAAGAAGAAAAGTATGTTTGCACATTAATATACATTCCCTGAGATATAGAATTGTAGGGAGAGAAAATAATGTACCTTTAGCCTCTGAAAATAAACTACCATTCTTAAATCAAAGATAATCTGTAATATTTCAAGAATAAAGCCACATTACTTTCTACTTTGGGGAATTAACAGTTTCTAGTGTCAGAGACTAAAAGCCGCCAAGCTGCATTTGTCCACATCTGAGAATCTTCAGCAATTTGTTAGTTAGTGTTCCAGATGAAGTTGCCTCTTTGAGTGGGATCCATAATTAGACACTAAGCCTACATTTTTCATTTGGGATTTTATCCAAAACTTTATTGTATTGATTCTACTAGGTTTTCAGAAAGAAGGCACTCTTTTTAACCATTCTGTCCACAGAATAATACATTTTTCCAGGCAAAACAGAAGACGGGCTTGCGGGTCTTGCTTATCTGTGACAGTACAGCACAGCGCAAGGTTACAATGCGTTTTAGGTCTTTCAGTTAGGAAAAATTGATAACTTCTTAGATCCCTAATGGTCCAAGGTTAACAAGTTTTAACATCTATTCTGAGAGCCCTGCAGCCCAGCATAAAGAAAGGAGACATGGTATTTTAGGAGCGAAGTCTCCAGTGCTGCAGCTGGAGTTGTTGA